CTCATTTCCGCCTTCAAATGCCGATTGTACTCCTCCAGAGCTCGAATTTCCATGTTGGTGCCGTCGTCATTTTGGCAAGACTGTATTTCAGGAAGATGCTGCCGACGCACCTGGGGTTCAGGCATACTATAGCAATGACCGTAACGCTTCGCAGGTCCCTTGGAGATCTTCTGTGGTGCCGAAAGGTCATACTCTGTCGATAGAGACTTTCTCTCGTCCATTCGGATAGTATGTTCGTCAGATGCCGTAGATTGCTGTCGGAGTCTGGGAATCACCCTAGAAAGTGCTTTCATTCTTCATAGGGAGTGAGTGGCCATGGTGCCGTCTACAGTACTCGAGTACTATTGAGGACATTATATTATGATGGTGTGGAAGGGTCACGGCACCAAGGTCCACTCTCATAGTCATACTATACTGTAATAGGATGGCATATTTATCCTCTACAGACCGTCAGCATGCAGAAGGAAAGCATCACTGGAACTGACTGGAACGGATTGGCACGAGCTCTTATCAAATTCTTGGATCTTGGTTTGAACCTTGCCTTAGGGCTACATCATTTTGTACATATAATACGAGAACTTTCAAATCCCCTCTCCCTCCTCGTTTCCTTTTGCAACAAGGGCAACTCTTCAGTGCCAATTTCCATCCTACAGCTGTACCAGATCGAGTTCCAAATTTCTAGAATGCAGTTATCTGGCATATTGTCGGAATCAGAGTCTCGGTTACGCATTCAACGTCAAAATGCGAAACGTGAACGAACACGATTCTATCGACGCAAGAAAAGCATCTTCAAGAGTGGGTATGACCTGCACAAGCAGTGTCATGCTGAAGTCTACATTCTGGTCCGGAGGAGTGGACGGTCATATATTCTGAGCTGTGCGGAAAACGACAAATCACCCTTTTCGGACCAAGCTCTGGTACTTGACCCCTGCCTCCTATCTGTGATCCACATAAGAGTATTGACATTAGTGCAGAATCAATGTTATCCAGTACCCCAGTGGTCCTACCCGGAAGACTTTCGAACGCCACGAATGGAGAGAGCTCAAGAAGATGCATCTTGTAACAAGGAGGAGTGATGGCTATGTGGGTGGTGCGCAGAAGGTATGGCGGCTGAGGTGACCAGCAAAGGACATGATCATGCCCTAGAGTGTTTCAGATGGACTGTATATAAGGGAACCTGAAGAGACTGACTTGGACGGCGTCTAGCCTACTCATGGAGCCGGATGAGCCAGGAATAAATATAGTACACTGTGTATACTATAAATATCAACATGACCCATGAGCAGGAGAATGTAACTGAAGCGTATCTATATAGGATCAGTCCTCCACTTCAGACCTGGACACACCATCTCATCATACGTTCAGCTTCTCATCGCTTGACAAGTTCCTACATATTCTTCCCTTGGACAAGATCAGGCCATCATCAAGACATTGAAATCACGTTCTTCACCTTGGATCAGCATTCGTCACTTGACGTTTACATTGTATCAGCTGAAGTACACAATACAAGCCTCCTACAAAGTCAAGCACTGACCTCAATATGACATCTGACGGAGGAAGAAATGATAACACTCGCCAACTGCGCCTTAGGTGCGATCGTTGCCAAAGGTATTGTCCTTCAGAGCATTGTTCCCGGTCGGAGTC